CAAATAAATTAAACCGACTAATATGCAGAAGTTACAATAATCAGTTAAATCAGGGTTGGGCAAACTACGGCGAAGCTATTTTTCGCCAAAAAAAGTCGTGGCCAGACATTCTGACCAAAAAAAGGAGTCACATAGATTAAAAAAATTCTCCCCCGGGTTGAAAAAAATTGCTATTCAAGTACATATGTGTCCCTTCAAAGGTAAAATAGTTCTTAAAACGGCCCCCACAATAAAACGTTTGCCGACCCCTGAATTAAATAATTGTATTACCAACACCAAATTTTCAAATGGAATAAATAAACGTAAAAATTTTCCCGAAAACTGCGTTAGTCAACGCAAAAAAGTTGGAAAATGTTTGAGACTACAAATATTAAAATACGACGCATTTTGAATATACAATACCTTTTCTATGAAAACAATTTAAACCTTTTTTTCAATACACATTTATATATTTAAAAAAAAATAACTAAAAAATCTAATTTTCGATTATTAATTTTTTATAATAATATAAAAATAACATGCAGTGTGCAGAACAATTTTTAAATTAATGTGTAGCGTTTATGTTCAGAAGATTTCATAATTATTAAAAAAAATATTTTGCATAAATAAACAACACAATTTGAGTCGTCACGTTCTTTCATCAATTAATTAGTATCCATACAAATGTCATATAAACAAAAAGGGGGAAAGTTCAAACGTTTAGATAAGAACAGCAACTCATTCGTAGAAGCGTGCAAATGTAAACCGATAAGATAGATAAAAAAAGGGTTACTTTTTTGTTTTTTATTAGATATTTGAAAAGGTTATTATACCAAAATTTTGTCAAAAACTAATTTAACATTTTTCTTCAAAACCTCAAAATATCGATCAATGTTTGAGTCGTAAATTTTTCCAGGAGCGAACTTTTCACAATCTTCATCAGACCTTGGGCATTTAGTTCTGTAATGGTGAACCATGCCAACGTCGTTTCCAACGTTGAAACTCTCTCCAACATCTCCAGGAAGGTGAATGTAGCAGTAGTGGTTGAAAACTGAAAGACAGCGTCGTGGGTCGCTGAATGATTTTGGAGCTGTCCAGCTGCTCAGAGGATTGGTTCTGTAATGAAATCTATCGGTATATAACCGATATCGGTGTGGACTGAAGTTCGAGTCATCACTCTGGAGCAGGTTCTCGACGGTTTGGTTGGATTCTATGTTGTAAGAACTGTTGCCTGTTTTGGAAATTTTAGGCCACGTTCTAAAAATGCAAAATAATTTATGCTTATTTTTTCAAACAAAAAAAATAAAGAAATTCAAATTAAAAATGGCTCTCAACCAATTGAATAAACTTAATCGTAAAGTTACTGGAATGTTTTTTAATAATAAAAGTTTTTATTTATTAAGTTTTTGAATATAGATAAGTTATTCTTAAGGATGAAGTTGTAGCTACCTACCTGAAATGATAAGCCATTGAAAAGACAAAGGTGTGTGGAGTTTCCCACTTTTTTTTCTTATCGGACTTTTTGCTTTTCTGGAGAAGTTCTTTGAACATTTCTTGGTACGTCAGAACTTGTTGCGGTATGATTATTTCATCATAATCTATCACAAGCACCCACTTAGCCAACTTCGTGTACCTCCAGTAACAGTGATTCAACGCTGACGGACTCCCGAGACTTATTGGCTCAAAGATGTCCCTTGAACTGAGGTTCGAATAAACAATGGGCTGCCAGTTCTCAAAGGCAGAAGATATGCCATAGAGCTTGAGAAGACCCCTTTCTTCGTAGTGTTGTAGGACTGACTGGACTTGTTCATCTGCCCTCCAGGTCACGTTGTGTAAGGTGACGTGAGATACTCCCAGCAGAATGTTCAACTCCATCCACTCGATGAATTCCTTCACATTCAGCTTCCCGTAAGACTTAAAAGAAGTTATATTAAGGTAAATAATTAAAAGAATGTTTTGCACTTACTATGTCATACAGTGCTACAAGGTAAAAATGCATGCAAACTATAATTAATTAATAAACTGGCTAGAAGAGGCGGAAAATTGATACAATCTGTGTAATTTTATCGTGAAATACAGAGAAGAAAATGTTGTGACTTCGATGTTTTATTTCTTTAACTCTTTAATTTATTAACAACTGCGAAATCGCTGATAGTTTCTTTCGTAATAGAAAGCGAGTTAACAGCTTTGTTCAATGAAGATTATAACAATTTAAATTTAGTGCTGAAGTTTTTAATAATATTTTGCTAAAGAAATCAGTAAAAATAAGAAATTAATAAATTAAAGTTATGAAAACATAATTTATAAACCCATCTAAACTTAAAAATTTGTATGTGAATGAAATTGTTAATGATGACGTAATGAAATCCAAAAATGGTTACTATAGTTGACCAAATGCCCAAACGTCATTAAAGAATTAAAAATCTTTGCAATGAATTGTTTAAGGTGCCAATGATTTAAACAAAACTGCTAAATGTATTATTGTAATGAACTCGTTTAAGTTTGATAAAAATGACTGCTCTTACACTTACAAATTTGTTGGAAGAAAGAATTTTTATTATTAAAAAAATATGAAAATTAAAGGTATAAGACAAAATTAAACACTTGAATCATGAACAAACCCCGTCTACGCAGACAACAAATTCGTATCTGAAGTTTCCATCATTTGAATCTTCAGCAGTTTTGTTGATGCTTGCTTCAGAATTTTTTTCAATGCCTTCCTCGTAGTCAGCATCACCTTCAACATCTTCAACCACGTATGCATGACTGTCCTTCATAAATATTTGGTCCACATTATTTTTCTCATTTTCCATATCAAGACTGGCATTATCTTCTGGAAAATCGTAAACCGGAAGCATAATGGAAGATTTTTCATATTTACTGAAGGCCAGTGAAACAAATTTGGGCGTAATTTTAATTTTCGAACCAATCGGACACGAGAATAAGAACTGACCATACCTTAAATGATCGTCTTCCACGTTCAGTTTTGCCGATGATGTTTTGTTTCTAAGGTTCAAAATATTGTGATCTCGGCCAGTTGCATGAACTCTTGCCCGAACAATTCGAACAGTGGGTGTTCCAAGTAAGCGCTCTTCCACTTTTCCATAGCCGTTAATTTGTTCATCCTCACCATGAAACCACATCTGGCAAAACACAGAAGTTGGATGTTTGTTTAATTTCTTGACTGCCAGCACGCGGACCCATCTACTGCCTGTATGCTGGATCACTTGTCGCCGGTCGTCGTGGTAGCTGAAGTAGGCCACAATTTCATCGAGGTCTGGTGTCGCGAGTGGAGAGTTAGATCGATTGTCATAAGCGACGTCGTGAATTTTTTGGTGAACCTGCCAAAATTCATTCCGGTACTTTATGTCGTCCTGCTTTGGGATGGGAAGATGAATTATTGGGCTTATAAAACCATCGTTACTGAAATAAGATTTGGATATTATAATGTTAACATTTTGTTTTAACGCGTTAATATACCGTTTGTAAACATCGTCAAATGTGTTGAACAGAATACAAAAAACCAGTAAGAGAAAGAAGATTCGAGCTATTCTATTTTTGTGTCTTAAAGTTAAATTTTTAATATTACAAAACTTCATTTTTTGGTGAAAGCTTTTTTAAATTTTCATAAAATTTAACAAATCTTCAACAATTGCTCGTCAATCACTGAACTACTTCATAATTGTACGTTTGTGTATATAAGCCCTAAGTAATGGTTAGAACAAAAATGTATAAACACTACTATATATGATACTTGTTACTAAGCTTAATTTGCATAAATTTCGAATAAATTTTCAAATTTCTAATAAATTATAAATAAAACTAAAAACGTTAATTAATTTATTAACTTAAATTATATAAAAATTCTTAAAAATATTTTTCTATTAGTTTTAACACTCATTTAAAATAGATTATTTGAAACCAAATAAGAATAGAAAGATAAGACTTCGTATCAAAGCAATCAGCATAATATATTGAGTCAAGTAGTTTTAATGTTCTATATAGACGAAGACGATTCTTCAAATCAAACCAGATACTGAATGAAAGTCATTAAAAGCTAAAGTAAGATGTCGCCATTGAAAGTTAAAATGCAGCAAACGTGTCTGAGTGTGTGTTAGTGATGTGTTTGCGTATGTGTGAGTGTTTATGTGTGATATTGAGAGGCTTGTTGTCGAGGTGCACCTGAAAAGGTGCAAGGGATGGATTTAAATAAATTATAAGTTGAGTACACGAGGTTTGATGAAATAACGCATTTGAATTTTCGTTTGTTTTTTTAAAAATAGAACGATCCTTCATAATGTAAGAAGATAAAACTGGGAAATACAATATAGACTACACTTTGGTGCAAACATATAGCAATTTGTCAGGAAAAATGGCTTAAGAGAGTTGCTCTGCAGATCACCAAATACCACGCAATACAAGAAACCTTCTTTCGTTGAAATTTATTTAAAATGTTAAACTCTATTATCACAAATAGGAGCACTGAATAACTTTCCTTTATTGGAATATTTTTTTAATAAGCATTAATATTTTGATTTTTGAATGATTTATTTCAAATATCATAATTTTATTCTATTAAGAGCGTGAAGACAACACATAAATTTATTAATTGTTCATACAAACTTTATTAATTTTTTCAATTAAATCTCCAAAGTTCTGATAAATTTGTGACCAAAAGATTAATTTTATTTTAAACCAGTTTGATGAATAGCAGTGAACAATTTTTTTTATAATTTTATTCGAATTCTTATCGCTCTACAACCAGAATTTTTTTTCAAATATAATATTTGTAAATACTTGAAAATGAGCCTTATGATGTGGCGTTTTTGGCAACATCCCAGGTTGGCTAACCCCCGCCACACACTTTGAAATTTCATTAACTCAACTTTTACATGGAATACTTAATTTTAAAAAAAATAAATAATAAATAGATTAGTTAATTTTTCTAAATGCTGTTTATTGTTTCAAGTTTCAAAATCATTACAAATTAGTTTTTATTATCTTTGAAAACGCTAATCTCTTCAAATGTTGAGTTTGATCATCATTCTACAGGAAGTTATGGCAACATGAGCATTGTACAAAGCGTAATAGAACGTCGAACCATACCTTCCATTGACATTCTGACAGTAACAGTTCACAAACCAGTTTCCATTCGAATTTTTTCCAGCACAGTTTGTTTTCTGCGGGCTGTTGTCTTGGTCTGGAGTTGAAAACATTACACCGTTGTGACGAAAACTTGGATTTGCGCAGTTCAGAACATCCATGTTATCCCGGAGTACCCCGACACATTGATGGAATATTTTTCCAGCTCTGAGTTTATCTTCAATACAATTTTATCAGTTCGCTATACTTAATACGTCAAATTACTCTACAATAAAAATTATTAATAACATAAAGCACATTTGAAACTATTTTTTATGTTCACATAAATGAATTCAGATTGGTCTTTGTAGAGTTACAAAGCTACTTAGTAGGCCAACCAGGAAAATAAACATTGTTTGAAATTTATCAAACATTATACAAACCCTGAAATGATTATATTGATCAGAAACCCAAATACCAGAGAGGAGAACTTCAAATCTCAATCTGTAATCGGCCGCTTTAGTCAACTGATGAAGTTGTTCCAAGCCCAGCCAGAAGTTTTGGTTGTAAGTTCCGAAACCAAACTATTAAAGGATATATATTCCAATTTTAGTTTTTTTTAAATTTCATTCCCAAATATTACTTTAAAAATTTTGGGACAAAGTTTTCAGCTATGCAAATTTTATTGATTATTTTTGCCCACTTAACACTAACTAACTTTTTGAAAATACACTCAACGATATGGAATTGTTGTAAATCGTATTTATTGAGAACAAGTGACATAATTTTGCTATAATTTTGACATAAAATTGCTGAGTGTATTATCAAAAAGTTAATTAATGCTAAGTGGGCAAAATTATTCAATGAAATTTGCATAAATATTACTTTATAAACATTCCAGCTTTGATTGAAACTTTGTAGGTTGTTGATCCTTTGTTGGATAACAATCCATCCATTTACAGTTGTGACAGTGGAGGAATTCTGAAACGTCGGAATGGTCAACGAAAGAGTTTGGTTGACACCACTATGAGCTGAAAAATTGTGAAAATGTTTTATTGTGATAGGGCAAGATAGGGCGAAAGTGTTAGTATAATGTTTTTGCACTTTACTTTACATTTATACAACTTTCACAACGATATTTTCGTTTAATTACTCTATCTGTTGAAAAATTTTTGCATGCGCACATAAACTTTTTCCAATTTCAAGTTTAGTCAAACCTTCGGGATTGATGCAGATTGTTAGTTGTCTGTTCCCGGTGATGCACAAATGAACTTTGCAAGGATTGTTCAACCCAGGAAGTGAATTAGAACAAGAATAGAACAATCCTCCATTGTAAGTAAATGGAAAATTGCAGAATTCACTCGATGTTACGTTGAAACTCTTTGCTAACAGAAAATTTCAATAAAAACAATGTCACGCTTACGGATGTCTAAAATTTGAAATCTCATTAAATTATGCAAGAAAACACTTTCATCGATTTCAGTAAAATTTATTAAATAAAGGAAAGTGGAACGACGAGATATGGAAGTTGAACCAATCTGCAATCCCCAGACCATAAAAAAGGGAGATATTTGAAAATTCTGCGTAAACTATAGTACGAAAATAAACAGAGTAGCAAAAAACTGGACATCAAAAGACATTGAAGAATCTTTTCTACAAATTGCATGGGTCCTTAACCATAATAACTGAACAATGTGTTTACCTCTAACACGAAAAGTTTAAAAAGAACTTCAATTTAATTTAATAATTCAACTCACAGATCGGCAAAGTAAAATTTTTCTCAGCAGCTGCTCTATTAATAAAAAAGAAGTTATTGTCATTAGAAAAATTAAGCTAGAAAAATGATCGTAACCTAATTTTTGTCTGGCCACAACATCCTATAATGATGAAGCAAAACATTGTCAATCAATTGTGATAATAAATTGAATAGATAGAATGAACTAACCTCGTAAGCATAACAATTGGACTCATTGGAAACAATTTTATAATGAAGTTCGCAAATGAAATTAAACAAATAACAGTATGTAGCTGGGCTACTCTGATTTCTAGGAACATAGTTGAATGCGTTGCAAATGATGTTACTGTCATTCACGACTGAATTATATCGAGAGCATTCGTTTGAACATTCTAGAAGTGATCGCACGCGAGACAAAACATTGAATGGCTTGGAAGCGAAGCACTTTGAATTGCTGAGATCCCCTATCTTACGGTAGTCCCTGCTGACTGCTGGTGCGAAGGTGTTAATCAGTGGTGGGGATGCTGACATCATCGTTGTTGTTATCAAAAACACCAACCGCATTTTGAAGTGTATGCATTTGAGTGAGTATAAATATTTATAAATATTATTAATCGTTAAAAGTTTAAATTATGATACTCGTTAGTTTCAGAAAATTGTGTATGTTTGCGTACGTTTGAGTAAGTTCGTGCCCACTATGATAGCAATTATCCACTTACATTTTTAAGTATAATAATACAAATACAAAATACTGTATGCTAGTTTGGACTTGTGCAACTTTTATAAACGTTTGTTTCTTGCCATTGTAATAATTATGCATTTGTAACCATTTCCTCGTGCTGGCAAACCAACATTAATGTACTCTGCAAATCAATTACTTTTGTTGAAAGTAATGGTTTTACACACGCAACACGGCACAGAAAACTCTTGATTTCATTTAGAAACGATAAATATTTCTATGTTTTTAAACTTCCTGCTGAGACAAATATTATTTGTTCTTAATATTGTAGCTCAGACAGGTAAAATATTGAAGATAATATAGGAATATAGAAAAAAAAATTTTATTCTATCATGCTTGAATGTTCTATTATGCTTAAAATAAATAATAAAATGTTCTTGCAACTGTTTAATGCAATGCTGATTTTTCTTTTTTTTTGGAAGAAGGAAAAATCACGTCAGTCAGTTATAATCATCAAGATTTCAATTGAACACTTCAACTTTTCTCAGCCCGCTTGTTATTCAGAAGTAATGTAGCCAGGGGCTGATGTCAGCAACGTTGACAACAGGATGGAGCAATATTTCAACTTGTGACGTGGGGCCAACAAACTGCCAAATTTTTGCTAGTGCGGCCGAGGATGAAAAATTGTACAAATTCACTTAATGTCCTAAATATGAAAATGATCAGAAAAATCAATACCGGGTCGATTTTAACACAGCGAGAAGGCTCACATCAAGTGCCGTTGAATAACGATGATTTCACTGTAACGTCTTTTGGTCAAGATCTCGGACTCTTGACATCACCTGAAAATGTTTGGCAACTCCTTATAGTTGAGAGTAGGTATATTCCATTCTCCATTATAACCTTTAATCACCTCCTCAATTGATTCCACGTCTCTTTTTGTTCCTGAAGACCAAGCTGTCGTTCCATGCTACAGTTGAAACCTGGCCAGAGATCTATATAACAAAATGAAAATATCATTACAAACAAATTTAAATGCCTATTGAATTGACCATCAATAAAAATACCACATAAAAAATGAATGTGGTCAAAAAAATTTAAAAAACACCAAAAGCTAATTATAAGATCTTTAATTTTATCTACAGCAGGCAATGAATAACATTTATGGGCTAAAAAATATTCAATTTACATAGCCTAAACCTCATCATAACACATTTATTCTCATTTAGTTTTAATTTTAAATAATTTAAACAATTGTTTTAAAAAAAAAAGAATATGTACCCGGAATAATGTAGAAAATCTGTACTAAAATTAAATAACGCCGAAACCAATTGATTTTTGAAAGCATCAGTATGTGTTTGTATGTTTTTTGTTGTTTGTGTTTTGTGTGTGAGTGTGTATGTGTGTGTGAGTGAATGTGTAAAGATAAGACACTTAAAAATTGAAACGCACATACGTACTTATCACAAAATGACAATAAAGGATTAAGCCTGTCATGTACAAATGCTTCAAATCTTCAATGAAGATATAGTAAGTAATTTTTTTTCTTTAGTAATCAAAATCGTAGAAAATCTTTTCAAACGCTTATCTTCAAAATAGGATTTATTCCCTCTGTTTGTACCGTACATAATCGTTTTGCATTTTTAGAAATTTATCAAGAAATGCGATCTGATGAGGATTTTTTATTGCTAATTTATCAATTTAATGAAATTTTCGTTTTTTCTCTCTTAAAACTTTACCAGCCATAACCGACAAATTTTAGTTGGGAAGGCTTAAATTTGTTAAAAATGTTGCCGACCTTTACTGCTTATAACACAGTGCCCAGTGTTTAGGAACCAACGCAATACCCTTTGTTTAACAAAACTAAACTTGGTTGTTGTGAGAGGTCTGAAAAAGTATTCCATTAAAATTTAAGTTTTTTTTTAAAGTTTGTAGATATTTCGTTCAGTTTCACCTTAATCATACTAGAAATTATCCTTGTTGAAGGCTTGTTTAGCCCCTCTCCAGACGACGTCTCTGATCTCCAATACACTCATCATTTAAGATAGGAATGGATGCCAATGATAAAAAGATGCAGCCATAAAAACAAAAAAACTGTTGGAAGATATTAAAATTAAAAAATTTCTAAAGTGGCAAGTAGTTTATTGATTTGCAAAAACATGCAGGAATTACTTGAACGAAATCAATGAGGATGATGAAAGTGAATATCGCACTCGTTACCACAACAAAAATCTCCAACGAACAAAACTCCTGGCTACACATTCGAGTTTGTTTACTACAGAAACTAATTGATCAACCAATAACAGCATTGATCATTTAATTTCATATATAATTATTTTTATTTATAATTATAGTCATTTATATAAAATATAAACGTATTATGTATATATAGAAATATTAAGCATTCAGAGTGGCACAGATGTTCTATAAACAATCAACCATTCTCATTTCAATGAGTTGGTTGGTCTAACAAAAGTACACATACACACACGCAAACACACACACACACACACAGGCACATACATATAAACACACTCACACAAACGCACACACATTCATATACACACACACACAAACATACACACTCACACTCACACACATGCATACTTTTCAGCCATCAACGTTGGCATTTCGTATGTGGTTTCCAATTGGCCCACAAAACATCATATTTTATTTGGATTAATTTGAAGTGTTATCCGTTTTAGAAATTGTCTTGGCCAGTTTTAAATACTCAGTGCTACCAAAGTAATTCATTTTATTTTGTTCAATTTAGACTTCTTAATTATTTCTTTAATTTTGTAAAAAATAATTCAAATTTCAAATCAACTAAAACAAAGAATTTTTTATATTAGATTTGACTTTTTAAATTAATGAGATAATTTTTTTTTATTTTCAGAAAACTTTTATTACAAAAAGTTCAACTATAGAATGATTGAGTGTCAAATTTGAGTTATAAAATTTCACAAAAAGTTTTAAAAATGAAGTTTTTAAATATTGTTAATATGAGAAATAAAAGGAGATGCCCGATAATAATGCTCGTAACTGTCATCCTGATGACAAGCACTCTATACAACACATTCAACGTTGTTTACAAGCGATTAACAAACGCGATTGAAGAAAACCTTCACAAAAGAAACGCGGATGTTGTTATAATATCCAAATCTTATTTCAGTAACGATGGTTTTATAAGCCCAATAATTCATCTTCCCATCCCAAAGCAGGACGACATAAAGTACCGGAACGAATTTTGGCAGGTTCACCAAAAAATTCACGACGTCGCTGATGACAATCGATCTAACTCTCCACTCGCGACACCAGACCTCGATGAAATTGTGGCCTACTTCAGCTACCACGACGACCGGCGACAAGTGATCCAGCATACAGGCAGTAGATGGGTCCGCGTGCTGGCAGTCAAGAAATTAAACAAACATCCAACTTCTGTGTTTTGCCAGATGTGGTTTCATGGTGAGGATGAACAAATTAACGGCTATGGAAAAGTGGAAGAGCGCTTACTTGGAACACCCACTGTTCGAATTGTTCGGGCAAGAGTTCATGCAACTGGCCGAGATCACAATATTTTGAACCTTAGAAACAAAACATCATCGGCAAAACTGAACGTGGAAGACGATCATTTAAGGTATGGTCAGTTCTTATTCTCGTGTCCGATTGGTTCGAAAATTAAAATTACGCCCAAATTTGTTTCACTGGCCTTCAGTAAATATGAAAAATCTTCCATTATGCTTCCGGTTTACGATTTTCCAGAAGATAATGCCAGTCTTGATATGGAAAATGAGAAAAATAATGTGGACCAAATATTTATGAAGGACAGTCATGCATACGTGGTTGAAGATGTTGAAGGTGATGCTGACTACGAGGAAGGCATTGAAAAAAATTCTGAAGCAAGCATCAACAAAACTGCTGAAGATTCAAATGATGGAAACTTCAGATACGAATTTGTTGTCTGCGTAGACGGGGTTTGTTCATGATTCAAGTGTTTAATTTTGTCTTATACCTTTAATTTTCATATTTTTTTAATAATAAAAATTCTTTCTTCCAACAAATTTGTAAGTGTAAGAGCAGTCATTTTTATCAAACTTAAACGAGTTCATTACAATAATACATTTAGCAGTTTTGTTTAAATCATTGGCACCTTAAACAATTCATTGCAAAGATTTTTAATTCTTTAATGACGTTTGGGCATTTGGTCAACTATAGTAACCATTTTTGGATTTCATTACGTCATCATTAACAATTTCATTCACATACAAATTTTTAAGTTTAGATGGGTTTATAAATTATGTTTTCATAACTTTAATTTATTAATTTCTTATTTTTACTGATTTCTTTAGCAAAATATTATTAAAAACTTCAGCACTAAATTTAAATTGTTATAATCTTCATTGAACAAAGCTGTTAACTCGCTTTCTATTACGAAAGAAACTATCAGCGATTTCGCAGTTGTTAATAAATTAAAGAGTTAAAGAAATAAAACATCGAAGTCACAACATTTTCTTCTCTGTATTTCACGATAAAATTACACAGATTGTATCAATTTTCCGCCTCTTCTAGCCAGTTTATTAATTAATTATAGTTTGCATGCATTTTTACCTTGTAGCACTGTATGACATAGTAAGTGCAAAACATTCTTTTAATTATTTACCTTAATATAACTTCTTTTAAGTCTTACGGGAAGCTGAATGTGAAGGAATTCATCGAGTGGATGGAGTTGAACATTCTGCTGGGAGTATCTCACGTCACCTTACACAACGTGACCTGGAGGGCAGATGAACAAGTCCAGTCAGTCCTACAACACTACGAAGAAAGGGGTCTTCTCAAGCTCTATGGCATATCTTCTGCCTTTGAGAACTGGCAGCCCATTGTTTATTCGAACCTCAGTTCAAGGGACATCTTTGAGCCAATAAGTCTCGGGAGTCCGTCAGCGTTGAATCACTGTTACTGGAGGTACACGAAGTTGGCTAAGTGGGTGCTTGTGATAGATTATGATGAAATAATCATACCGCAACAAGTTCTGACGTACCAAGAAATGTTCAAAGAACTTCTCCAGAAAAGCAAAAAGTCCGATAAGAAAAAAAAGTGGGAAACTCCACACACCTTTGTCTTTTCAATGGCTTATCATTTCAGGTAGGTAGCTACAACTTCATCCTTAAGAATAACTTATCTATATTCAAAAACTTAATAAATAAAAACTTTTATTATTAAAAAACATTCCAGTAACTTTACGATTAAGTTTATTCAATTGGTTGAGAGCCATTTTTAATTTTAATTTCTTTATTTTTTTCGTTTGAAAAAATAAGCATAAATTATTTTGCATTTTTAGAACGTGGCCTAAAATTTCCAAAACAAGCAACAGTTCTTACAACATAGAATCCAACCAAACCGTCGAGAACCTGCTCCAGAGTGATGACTCGAACTTCAGTCCACACCGATATCGGTTATATACCGATAGATTTCATTACAGAACCAATCCTCTGAGCAGCTGGACAGCTCCAAAATCATTCAGCGACCCACGACGCTGTCTTTCAGTTTTCAACCACTACTGCTACATTCACCTTCCTGGAGATGTTGGAGAGAGTTTCAACGTTGGAAACGACGTTGGCATGGTTCACCATTACAGAACTAAATGCCCAAGGTCTGATGAAGATTGTGAAAAGTTCGCTCCTGGAAAAATTTACGACTCAAACATTGATCGATATTTTGAGGTTTTGAAGAAAAATGTTAAATTAGTTTTTGACAAAATTTTGGTATAATAACCTTTTCAAATATCTAATAAAAAACAAAAAAGTAACCCTTTTTTATCTATCTTATCGGTTTACATTTGCACGCTTCTACGAATGAGTTGCTGTTCTTATCTAAACGTTTGAACTTTCCCCCTTTTTGTTTATATGACATTTGTATGGATACTAATTAATTGATGAAAGAACGTGACGACTCAAATTGTGTTGTTTATTTATGCAAAATATTTTTTTTAATAATTATGAAATCTTCTGAACATAAACGCTACACATTAATTTAAAAATTGTTCTGCTAGTTTTTTTTGTATTATTATAATCAGACTTTCGAGATAATAGATAATTGAAGCTGTTGACTTGTTTCACCTGTTTGATTAATGATTATGTAGCAGATCAGGGCGGTTTTGCTTTTACTGATAATCATGCACTCAGTTTATTTGCAAGCCTTCCTTTTCCATTTCAAAAACCAGTTTGGAAAGACCACTATTAAATAATACTATTATTTAATTGATTCTTTTAACTTTTACAGATTTGTCGGTTTAATTTATTTGAAACACATCTTCACTCAAATTTCATTGCGACATGGTACTAATTCTAATTTTATAATTTGTTGTGATATGAACAAGCATTAAGCATACCGCCATCTGTAGCGATAAATTATTTTATTCTCTTTTAATTTTACTAGTCCTTTTTTAATACCGAATTAAAAGTTGTTGCAATTGCTGTTATTTTGTTATACTGTTTTCATTGTTGCACATTATTGATGTGAGATTTTGAATAACATCAAATACATACAATATACAAACACAATAAGCACCAAGAAGTCGTTCACAATTTCAAAACTGGGTTGAAAAAGCAAAAAAGAACTAACAAAATATTTGAGCTAAGATCAGAAAATCTGGTAAACACAAAATTTATAATTTCATTATTGAAAATTTTATTCTTATATCTATATAATACTATTAAAAACTCATTTTTATACAAAAAATAAAACAAAATGTATTTCACACAACTCACGCGCGCTATGTAATATTTTAGGCAAAGTCCAATCTAACAAACTTGAGGTGAATATAATGTCGTTGTTGTTGTTGCTGCTGTTGTTGTTACTTAGGTATTTTCAATCTAAAGTTCGATTGAATTTGTTTATGAAATGTTAATGAATTTTGATATAATTAATAATTCGTTGTTTTGAAATCTTATCTAGCTCGGCTCTTTTGTCTGTTCCCAGATAGCAGTCTATTAATTTTAAATATTTTCATAACTGCAAAATTCTATTTAAAAAGGTTTACAAAATTAAATATTGAAAAACAATTCAAAATTTCTTGAAGATTAATTTCGAACCGACAACTGTTATAAAAGAAACAATGCAGCAACCTCATTCAAAAAACTTCCCAGCAACCCTCACATCCTCCAGAACATCTCTCCTCAACTTACTCCTACTTTCACTTCTCCTCCTCATCTCACTCTTCTCGATGACGATCGAAACAAAACCGCGTTCAGTCACGTGCTTCCAGTGTTTCCAGTGGCAGACCAACTGCAAGGTCGCCAACGGTACTGGCAGAGTTTGCTCGGGGAGGAAGTGCGCTGTGCTGAAGTACAAGATAGGAGGTTGGCTGTGGTGGCTTTCCATAAGAAAAATTATAATGAGAAGAAAAATAATATGAATAGTAATAATTTGAATGGTAGTAATATAAATTAGATAATTATATTAATAATGATAGTCATTTTATAGCGCTTAGTGCGCCAGGAGTGTTTAGAATACACCTTCAGCAGTTACTTAAGAAAGATTAAGGAACATTGTTATTATCATAATTACAATTCTCATTCTAATAAACACTGCATGGAAATGAAACAGAGAATCACACCCACTGCATGTGATTTGGATAAATCTCCTTGCAATCGAACCCAGTCACTGCAACAGCAGGCACTTTATGGTTGCACCATCATCGTGCTGCCGTCCATGGTTTAAGTACAATGACCGTGGATATTGTAAATCTAAGAAGGTTCATCCATAAAAGTTGCGAATTATCTTAAGAAATGTAGAAATGTAAGGTTTACCCATAAAATGCCCAAGTTGGCATACCTATTTTGAATACTTTGTAACGTAACTGATTCACCTTTGCAATAAAACCTAGGAGAGTCATTTGTTGAGAGGCATTGTTTGAATGAAGATGCTTGGAGGGAATGCTCCAACGAAACTTTTAACAACGTCGGTAACAGGAGTGTTGGGTGCAGTTGTTCAACTGACTTCTGTAATGGTCACTGAACATTTTTAAATTAAATTCGAAGAACGAATTTTTGTTAGTCTGAAAGTTGAAATTTTATCATTCAAGTGATGTGGCTGTATGTAAATTTCGTTAGATGTGTTTATTTTTTATTATTCAAAATTTAAAAAAATTTAAAGTGACCTCATTTTTTAACATCTCTGAATACTTCTATTCTAAGTTCAGTCTATTGTTTTCTAGTTTTAACTGTGAAAATGAATGAAATTACATAGTAAACATTTACAACAGAAAAGCTTATTTAAATAAACACACAAGTACATACATGTTCACTATTCTTAATATGAGGTAAAAAGAATATTTTTAATGATTTATATTGAAATATATTTCAAAATTTGTGATTTTTTTTTGAAAAACATAAACAAAATATTAATTACGAACAATGAAAACAGTTTAAAAAATGCGTGGTACAAATAATTAAAAGAACGTAAGAGGGCGAACGGTGAACAAACTTGCTTGCGAACAGCTATCTTCAAACGAAGCTGTCTGACGTTATTGGTACAAGGTTTAGCACACTCGGAACTATGGAGTTTGAGACAAATCAAATATACAGTTATTTTTATTTAAATGCGTAAATATGTTTGAGTTATCATCTTACTTTATCATTACAACTGATTGACAGAAGTTGTTGTCTAGATTGCAAGACTCAAAAAAGTAGGATTCTTCTATTATTTTTTATATTCATGAAATTTTTTAATTAAATATTTTCTCCAAATACTCATCCTTATTGCAAACCTACAAAAAGAAGTTGTAAATATTTACATTAAAACTGATACATATTGAAGGTCGAGTTTTAGTTTTATCTGGTCGAGTTTTAGTTTTAGCGAAAGGTTTAGTGCAAGATTCATGCTAAGTAGAGAGTGAAAAATAATAGATAACCTAAAATCTTCAAAATAATTCTGCTGTTAGAATTTTGAATTTTTCCATTTCATTAAGCTAGATCAACCTGCTCTAGCTTAATCTAGAGCAGGTTGATAGATAATTAAACTAACATGACCGCTAACAACGGCTCAATAAACTAAATATATATCTCAGTCATTTGGATGAACATACTTCACTTCTTTTGTGATTAGTTCAAATATATTTACATTATTTAGGCCAAGAAAGTCGCAATTTAACTGAAAATGATCCTTAAGTCGTTACTCGTTTTTTTAATACTTTCCATCGTATTGGCGTTCGCCCATCGTTGTGGCAACAGAAGTCACGGAGGTCACCACCACGGCAATGATACGTCGCTTTGGGATAGTCGATTCAAGCGTCATCAAAAAATGATAAAGGCAGATTTCTGGGCGCTGGTTGATGAAAGAAGGGAGCCTGCCAGGACTGAACTGCTGACCGCTTTGCAAAACGGCACTCCCATTCCGGATTTTATAAACAGGTAGATGAGTGAATTTAAAATTAACATTAAAATATAATTTACAACTTTAAGAAAGTAAAATAATTTCTGTTTTTTGAAAATTTTTCAAATTGTTATTTACATGTGGTGAAACCTAAATAAGAAAGTGATAAACACGTTGATGCCAGTTGAAACAAACCAATGGAAATTTAATTGGAAAACATTTTCAGGCACTGTATCCGTTTTTTTGAAAAGTTGAGTCCGGAAGAAAGAGATGAAACCATGACGTTTCTGAAAGAGTTGGACATGAAAAATCTTCCTGTTCCTTCCTCTGATGACTGCCATCATCATCATGATCATCACAATCATCATCATAGTGGCCATCATCATAATCATCGTCATTGAAGATAATGTGAGTAAGAAACTGATAATAGCCCAAGTAAAATTTTTTGCATTTGAATTTTAAAAGCGTTTTTTTATTTAAAAATTTTTATCTCCTGTCTTACAAAATTTCATGTTGAACATGAACAATTAATCCTGTTTTGAGAACGAATCGCATTTTAAAATTGATAATTAGAATTTGAATAAAATCTTAAAAACACTTTCTGAGTATTATCACACAAGAAATATAATCAAAATTTAGACTTCAAAGCAGTTCAGAAATACCGAACCTAAATGATAATTGAAATGGTCCAAAATAAATTCAACAAACATATACGAAATATAAATATTTTTAGTTGTCAAACATTAAAACAAATAATTAATAAATATATTTCGGTGAATATTACGTGAAGAAGTAAAAGTGGCCTTTTTTATCTCATGTTTTAAAATTCATGATTAATTAAATATTAAACATTCTTCTAATCGCAAGAACATCTTTTTTATTGAACGGGTGTTGTTGGCGAGTTAGCAACCTATATATTTATTTAATACGGTCTCATTGGAATACCTACAAACATATATTAACTTACGATTAAATTTTGGTAACGAATCATTATTCTTATGTAACAGTAATTGAGTTGTTCATATTGAGTTGAGTTTTTTTTCTTAAACACCAATCTGAGTAGTCATTTATGAGCATAATCATAAGATTTTCAAAAAAACCTTAATGTTTGGTTAATTTAATTAATAGGGAAACAAGTACAAACCGCATTTATGAATGCCTAAATCCGTTGATGATGTCAATGACCAGTTGAAGAAAGATGAAACCATTCAATGATGATGATTTGGGGTACTCGTGTGATTACGATGTACTTTCTTGATGTACCAGTGTGATTTCGTTAAAACTTCAACTCCCTTGCCCATGCCGTCGCTTCATAAGTCAGACATGTAATTATCTTATGACGATAATTTGTAGATTGAATTCAAAATTTTTCGTCGTCTTATATTTTCTAAAAATTTATTTTACTCAGAGAATTCATCAGAAGTTTATCTAATAAACTATATTAATTTTTATGTTAATTTTCCTTGTTTAAATATTTTAAATTTTAATTTAAAAAATTAAATATAAACATGGGTTTTTATTGATAAGCGTTTATTGTTGTCGTGTATGTAATTTTGTAAATAACCTAGCTGACGCGGTGTATTCATCAAAGCCTTATAAATTAAAAATGCTCTTTTAATATCTGAGTTTCATTCAGCATAATTAGAGAAACAAAATATAGTATTCATAAATATTTTTTAGTGTTTTGCCTTGCGTTTGTTGTCAAACATCTTAGTATCAAACTACATCATCTTCTAAACAAAATTAATCAATTTCGTCAGAGTGCAAGTTCTGTAACATTGTCTTTCTTTAAGGGGATTAACCAAAAAATCTCGAAATCCAACTAAGCAACCTCTTTTATTACCGAACTCAACTTACATTGTTTTGTACCATACCGTTCACACGCACTAATTTATTTCCAGATAATTTCACAATGCTTGATTATCTTAAATCTCAATTTGTTAATAATAAATTTATTAATTTCTAAAATTATGCGCGTCTTTTACAAAAAATTATAATTTAATTAACTAGCTGTCTTTGGCATCTCTGTTCATTGTACTTTTTTAGCACCTGCATTAATAATAATAATGATAAAAATATCAATTCATATCACGCCCTATGCATAGTTCTTTTAACTATTGGATAATCAACGACTTCAGACGTTTCCATATTCATTGATAAACAAAAACTGATTGAATCATTTCCTAAAAAGTCTAACGTATGATGGCTGGCGTACCATTTCATATGGATGGTGAGCTGTATGTAAAATAATTCGCATGATCACGTGTTATTTGCATTAGTTTTCTCATTTCAAAATTCATTCACATGTTTACATCATTCATAATCGTCCTCATTCATTGATTATTTTTTTCATAACTCATTTACATATTAGCATGTTTCATTTCATTTACATTTTAACATATGCATCTGGTTTCATTGATTTTTTTATAATTAGACTCATCTGTACTTTAAACTTAAATTTTTTTAGTGTACTTTTGTCGCCTCTAACCTTCAATTCTCATATTTAAGTCATTAGGCAAACTTGAATTTACTAAATTTAAACAATTCGCCACATTTGCTGTTGATGCCCATTATGCCTTGTTGCCTCGTTTTTTATTTACCTCTAATTATTACCGTAATTATCTTTCTACTGGCTCTCCTTTAAACATTTCTGGCAAAGTTTTCCTTAAAAAAAGCATTTTAGCTTCACTAGCAGTCCTCCCAGCATATGCAACGGTCTGATGTCAATCCATCGGCAACCATCTATCACAGTCATTAACATACGGATCGAATATTTTTTTTGTCCAAATGTAAATTTCAAATTAATACTTTTTTACAAATTAATATTTTTTTAAAACTCGAAATTTTTGTTATATTTGTATTTCATGTCTTTCATCACGTATGCACAGTGTGTTTCCCACAGACACAC